GAAATGACACAGGGCACTGAGGACAGGCAGCGGGACAGAGCAGGCAGGGATTCACAGAGGGGACAGCCCGGAGCTGGCGGCAGGGAACAGAGGACTCTACTTGCTTGTGAACATGGCGTGGAAGTAGGGGCTGCACGACGCCAGCACCACCTTGTGGGCCTTGATCTCCTTGGTGGCCACGTGCAGGACGATGTCGCAGAGCAGTCCCCGCTGTCGCATGCGGTTCATGCACACGAAGGCGTCGTGGTAGTGGCGYTTGGAGTTGTGCGAGATGCTGTGCCCGTCGCGGTTCAGGAGCTGCACGCCCCCCTCCATGGCTGCGGCGGGCACGGAAGGGGGGCTGCCCTTCCCACCGGCTCTGGGATGGGGGAAAATAAAGAGTTATCGGGGCAGGAGCAGCTCCAGAACCCGGGGAATCGCTGTGGGAGCCAGCACGGCTCACAGACWCTGAGCAAGGATAGCTCTGCCTGCGAAATGTCATCTGGGTTCAAACAAAGAGGGGAAATTCAGCTTCAATACAGGGAAGGAATTCTTCCMTGTGAGGGACAGCAGGCTCTGGAATGGATTTTCCATCSCTGGGAGTGTCCCAGGCCAGGCTGGATGGAGCTCAGAGCAGCCTGGGATGGTGGAAGGTGGCCCTGCCCGTGGAATTGGCTGATTTTTCACAATCCCTTTCAATGCACAGCGTTCTGTGATTCCAGGAAAACAAAACCTGCCTGATGAAGCACCGTTTATTCACGCCGAGCTGTTTCCTCCCCCTGGTGCCGTTTGCATCCAGGCTGCTCCGAAAATGCCAGCAGCACCCGAAAGCCGGGCAGCGAGGAGGGAATGACTGAGCAGCAGGAGGAAGGAGGGGGATGGAGCAGCAGGAAAAAAAAAAAAAGGCAGCTGGAATCCAACCCCAGCTCGTGAGCTGCCCCCGCATCCCTGCGGCGAGAGAATCCCCTCAGCCTCCGCTCCTCGCACACCTCCACACAGCCCTGCCGAGCCTAAAAATAGCAAMCCAGCATCCTGTGCCTGCTGAGCCCCCGCTACCGAGCGGTTGTAGCACGTACGAGAGTCTGGGGGAGGAAAAAAAAAAAGATGAATAAACACGTTTGCTGAGCGGGGAGAAAGAAGCCTGCAGTGCCCTTTTCTGTTTGCATCACTCGGAGTGCTACGAGATTGCTCCTCTCGCTGGCAGCGGGGAGGGCTCGGGGCACACGGCAGAGGCAGAGCAGGGACAGCGGGGACAGCAGGGACAGCAGGGACAGCAGGGACAGCCACCAAGGTGCCACCGTGCCCTTGGCAGCAAAGCAGAGCCCGGGAGCGTGGTGTTCTCCCATATCCCCCGTTTGGGAAGCTGCAGCATCCCCTCTTTATCCCCATGTGTGGGCACTGCTGGATGAGATGCCCACATAAAGGAGGTTTTTTTTGTTTTTAACATCCTCACTGAGCTGCAGAGGGCTGGGATTAGGGTCGGGGTCGGGCTCCAGGGGTCCTTTCCCACAGCTGCTTTAGGGCAGGGAACAGACAGAGCTTTCCCCCTTTATCCCCATGGTCAGGTTTGCCTCTCTGCTTTGTCTGTGCCATGCCCTGCTCAGCACATTTGTCCCCATCAGTATTTCAGTCATGTCCCAGCCCTAAAGCTCTCTCCTCGTTTCTCCAGGGGGCTGGGAATGAGGGATGGGAGCTCCTGGATCTGCAGCAGTGTCAGGACCCCCATGGGGCAGTGTCCCCCCTCCTGCAGCCCTGGTGTGGGGTTGGCTGAAGCCTTGGGGTCAACCCCAATCCCCTCCACCCCACAAAGACTCGATCCCATCAAAACTCTTCTGCTATATGGGATCAGAACAAAACCAGCATGGACAAAGGGATGGAGCACCCCTGTGCAGAGCTCCCCACCTCACTGGCAGTACTCAATATTCCTTATTTCCCTGTTYAAACATCATTCCCAGGAAACGAGGGTGTGTGGGATGTCATTAATGGGGAGCACAGCACCACAGGACACGCTGAGCAGTGTTGGGATGAAGCACAGGACCATTTTTGCGGGCAGCAGCAGCAGCAGTGCACGTGTCCCCACAGGCTGGGACGGATGCGCTGCCTCCCTTGGAATACTCAGAGGTTATGGCACAAAAAAAAACCCAAAAAAAAGCGGCGTTTGTTTGGCTCCTCTGCGCCAGAGCGTGGCCATGCATAACAGCTCTGTTAATTAATGCAAATGATCCCTGCCCAAAGGGAGGCCTGTTCTCTCCGCACAAAAAACCATATTTTGCTGGGAGTGAAAAGAAGTGTGCTGAGCAATAAACAGGGAACAGAGCATCCTCCAGGGAGGAGTTCCGAGCCTGCCCTTTCCCCAGGAAGGCCCTGCAGAATGGCTTTTTGTTGACAGGCTGGATGGGGATTTGTGTGTGGCAGGAGGGCTGGGAGGCAGCACAGACACAGACGCATCCTGTGCAGCTGCTGCGATAGCGGGGCAGGGATCAGGGCACAGCCCCCATGCCCTGAGGCCTGGCATGAAATCAGGCTGAAATCCCTCCCCTCCGTGTGTCCCCATCCCTTTGTGCCGCCTCCCTGAGCGCCTCCCCCTCGGAAAATCAGCTGTTTGTGCACAGCTCCGCATCTCCCACGCGAGTGCTGCCTCTGGATGTGGCACAAAGCCCTGGCTGGGCTCACCCCGAGTGTCACAGCAGCACAAAGCAGCTCTGCCAGGTGGCACTGTGGTGCCAGCTCCCCTTTCAGGGCTGTGCTGATGGTGACAGAGCGGTGCCCTCCACAGCAGCACAGCCAGACTGGCCCTGGCATGGAGCAGGAAAAAGAGGGGACCCCMGTGCAGCAGCATTTTCTCATCCATAATCAATGCCAGGGCTGTTGTCACAACCTACATTAGATGTGCACTGCTCTCACCCCTCAAACTCGGATATCCCAAATTGTTTATTTTTTCAAAGGGTGAAATTACAAAATAAATTGCATTCCCAGCTTTCGTGCTGCCTTCCCCACCACAAACACCATCAGAAAGGATGGGAAACGTTCAGCTGGGCATGTCCAGATGCAAAGCAGACACTAAAGGAGGCAGCTGTCCCCACGGGGATGTGTCACAGTGTCAGTGACAGWGACAAAAACCTGCTCAGGGGAGCTCTGTGGGCTCCAGGCCTTTGTCAGKCATGCAGGGAGCTCAGCCAGGTCCTGGCAGTGTGCAGCAGCTCCTGCTCACATCGGGCTCGGCGTGTGCCCGGCCTGGAGGAGCTGGAGCTCGCACAGGCACAGGGAGGGAGCTGAGAGGGAGATCTTGGAGCTGCAGATCCTCAGCGCTGCCCAGGGTGGATTTTTGTGCCTGAACAGAGGCCAGGGCTGTAAATATGGATGGAAAGGAGGTGTCACTGCCTTCAGAGGGAACTGGGACTGCGGAGCTGGCAGTGCCAGGGGAGCTGGACACCCTCTGCCAGCTCCCAGTGGGCACAAGAACACAAAATCAGGGTGAGGAGCAGGACCAAGGAGCCCTAAAACCCCTTCCAAACCTCCTCTGCTCCTTCTGCTCCYTCTGCCAGCTCTGCCCCTGCCTTCCCTCGCCCAGCCCCTGCTGYTCCTGCAGATCCCTGGAATTAATCTGCTCCGAGGGAGCCTGGAGGCAGCGCAGGGCAGCACAGACAGCGCTGAGTCTGCAGGACTGAGAATCCCCAGCTCCCACGAGGGTTGGGGCTTTTTTTATTTTTTTATTTTTTTAAATGAATTAGGCATAACTGACACGCACTGAATCCTCCTGTCTAGACATCTGCAGAGAAGTGACAAGCTGCCAGGGAGGATGTGGAGCCTCGGCAAGGGGGTGGGGAGGACAGGGAAAAGCTGTGCTGGGTTGGCAGCTCCACGGCAGAGATGGAGCTGGCTCCAGGCAAGAAGGGCACGAAGCACATTGCCCTCGTCAGAGCTGGCAGCAGCTCCCTGGGCTCTCATCGCTGGGCCCTGCTGCGCACACGAGGCTGGAGAGCTCTCCTAATTAAAGCCTGGCTCCTCGTTAATCCGGGGAGTTTGGTTTGGAAGCTCAAAGTTGGTCTCGGTGCCCCCAAAAAGGGAGAGGAGGAAGCACRAGGCAGAGTTTCCATGCACTGGGAYATTGTCACACCCARGAGGGGCATCCTCATYWCAGTGCCCACAGYCTTYTCCTCGCTTCTCCCTCCTTCAGACACCTCCAAACYCAGATTTTGTCCCCACTTTTGCAGCTCCAAGCAGCACTCCATGGTTGAGGGATTCTGAGGTGTCCGCACCAACATTTGGATCGTTTTCAGGTAATTGGTTGTGAGGGTCAGGACTGGAGGAGGTTTGGGACTGCTGAATTCCCAGGTTTARGAGAAACAAGGAATGGGAATGGATTCCTGCCTGGGATAAGTTATTAMATTTTTATATTAATAACATATAAAAAAGCTATAAAAAGTTTYCAATTAATAGAYTTTATAAGCACTTTATCACTTTAATATAGACTATATGTATCACCAGGTTTAGGAGAAACAAGGAAYRGGAATGGATTCCTGCCTGGAGATGCTCAGCAAAACGTGGGGTTAGACTGCAGCTCCCAGAGCCCAGCACAAAACACACCCAAAAATGAGCAAAAGGAACCCCTTGGCTCTGTCAGGGGCTGGCAATGTGGGTCATGTCCTGATTCCCCTTCCCAGTGTCCCCAGCAGGGTGACACAGAGCCTGGGTGGCACCCAGGGCTGGTTTATGGCACAGGCAGCATCACATAAAGCAAATTCCTGCACAGACAGTGGTGCCAAGGCCAGCACTGCCCATCCCTGGGGATTCCTGCTCTCTCCTGTGGCAGACATTTCCATCCCCAGCTSGTTTCTCAGGCAGATGAACACAAGGAGAGGGCACTCAGGCCATGGCAGGCAGCCTGAGCAGTGCACATCTGCATTCTTGGCTCCCAAATCTCCCTGGGAGCTCCCTCTCTGCAGCATCCTCCATTCCAGGAGGGACTGTGCCCTTCCCCTCTCTGCTGTGCCAGCTGCTGGTGGCTCCAGGGGACAGTGGGACAGCTCAGAACGGGTCACCAGCACTCAGCAAGGCCCTGATGTCACAGCACAGTGATGGATTTGGGGAGACGCAGCAGGAGACGCCACTTGGCCTCTACAGGGAAGGGCAGCAGCAGGGAAAGAATGAAATAGCAGCAGGGAAAGAAGGGAAAACAGCAGGGAAAGAAGGGGAAAGCAGCAGGGAAAGGAGGGAAAAGGAGCAGGGAACGAAGCAAAAAGCAGCAGGGAAAGAAGGGAAAAGGAGCAGGGAAAGAAGGAAAAAGCAGAAGGGAAAGAAGGGAAAAACAGCAGGGAAAGAAGGGAAAAGCAGCAGGGAAAGGAGGGAAAAGCAGCAGGGAAAGGAGGGAAAACAGCAGGGAAAGAAGGGAAAAGCAGCAGGGAAAGAAGGAAAATGCTTCAGGGAAAGGAGGAAAAAGAACTCAGCTCTGCTGGCTGCAGACAGGAAGATCTTTCACAGATGAACCAGACAGGGAATAATTCTGCTGCCTCTCCAAATGAGGAGGTCACTGCGGGCATCACCCAGCTCAGCACCCACAGCACCCACAGCACATTCAGGGAGGTTCCCAAAGCCTCCTCCAGCCCCTCTCTGGCACCACAGACCGGACCAGCTCTGCCCCTCCTGCCCTGAACAAGCTCTGAGCTTCTGGGCAGCAGTGGGGAAAGACTTTTCAAGCCAGAAAACAAAAGAATTCCCTCACATCTTCTGGCAAGCAGCAGCACAGGCCACATCCCCGAGAACAGAGCTATGAGGAGCATGTGACACCACAGCCTTGAGCTCGCTGGCACAYTGGGGACCTGCCAAGGCCAGCGGGTCCCAGACCCTGGGAATGGCAGCTGGAGGAGCTCGAATTCTTGTCCCTGAGCAGGAATCCTTTTGGGGATGAAGCCTCTGAAGCCTCCCCAGAACTGCCTGCTCAGGGTTTGGAGGCAGAGCCCCACTCCTGAGAAGATCCAGGGGCACCTCAGTGGGGCTGCTGCATTTCTGGAACTGCTGAGTCTGAAATGCAGCCAAACAAGAAGCCAGAACAGCGTCCCCAGAAGCTCTCCAGCCTTCAGAGGACACCTGCTTTGATTTGCACTCCATCTCCAGAGAGCCAGGCTGGCGAGAGGGAGCGGGGCAGATGGCCGCTGTCTGTGCTGGCAGAACAAAGCCGTCCCACCGCCACCCYCGGCGAGATGACCTCAGCTGACAGGAAGCACCAGGGACCATCCCAGCTCCCCAAGATGCTCAGGAGCAGCTCCATTTGGATGCTCTGGAGCCAAGAGAGCAGGTGCCTGTTCCGCCTGCCAGCTCCTGGTGCGCTCTGAATGAGCTGCTCTTTGCTGTGATTCATTAATCACTCCGGGCTTCAGGAAGGAAACTCAGATYTCTACACCCAACATCTCCCTGAGTCTTACTCACTGCTGAATAAAGGATTTCCAGCAGATGTTCACGGGTCAGGAGAGAAACTCGGGGTGCAGAGGGAAGGGAGGGCAGAGAGGGGTTCGTTTTGGCTGCAGGGATGAAAACCAAAGGCCAGCGGACACTGAGGGGTCAGTGAGCCCCAAAACACTGAAACTGTGACAAACCAGCACCTCTTGGGGCAAAAGGGACCCAGAAACATCCACGTGTTGCTGAATCACTGCAGGATCACCTCCAGCAATGCAGAGCCCCCCGAAATAGTGCTGTGGGGCAGCAGAAGGCAGAGGGGGATAGGAATTCTGCACAGAGCCATCCAAGAAGGGGCACTGCTCCTGGCACGGGAGCCGGGCTGGGGGCACACAGAGCAGGGAYAGACACCTTCTCCTTCCATGCCAGGGTGCCAGGGCTGCCGTTCCCCGGAGAGGGAGGCATTTGCTCAGGCAGCAGAACCAGCCCAGCTGCCAGCCTGGCCCGAGCTCCCGGGACCAGCTCCAGCTCCAGCTCCAGCAGCAGCGACGCTGTGGCTCAAGGAGAGCCCTCTGCCCTGACAGCCACTGCAGAGGCCACAAAAAAAACAAAAAAAAAAAAACTGCATCCCACGTCCCCCACAAGTTTCCAGAAAACCCGAGGCGACGTTTCTCCCCGTGCCCTTCAGCACCAACAGCGAGCCCCGTGTGCTCCGCCGAGGGCAGGGACAGCGGCCAGGCCGGCCCCGCTCTGCGGCTGCTGCCGGGGCTCACGGAGCTGCGGCTTCTCCCTCTTCCAGCGGGATCTCGCCAGGACTTGGCARAGGACAGGGAAGGAGGGCACAGGGATGCTGCCGGCCCGCAGATGACGCCGCGGTGCAGACAGAGCCCATCGGCCCATCCAAACCTCGGGAAATATTTGGAAGCGACACCAGTTGTGCCAAAACCTTTGGAAACGGCG